ACCTTAACTCCGTCTTCGTGGCCGTTGGGTTCCCGAGACGGGACCCAGAGAAGATCAAGCTGGCGCTGGAACACACCGACTCCCTGCTATGGGTGGAGTACAGCAAGACCCAGAAGCCAGTGGCGTTTGCCAGAGCAACTGGGGACGGCGTTTTCAATGCCATAATATGGGATGTGGTGGTGGACCCGTCGTTCCAGGGAATCGGGCTCGGAAAGGCTGTGATGGAGCGCCTGATAGAGGAGCTTTTACAGAAAGGAATTTGCAACATTGCCTTATATTCGGAGCCCCGTGTTCTCGGGTTTTACAGGCCTCTCGGATTCGTGGTCGATCCAGATGGAATCCGAGGAATGGTCTACTCCAGAAAACAGAGAAAAAAGAAGTAAACCAAGAAAATTTTCTTTTATTTTGAATTTCTGTTTGCCTCAACATCTTTAGTTGAGGAGGAAACTTGAGAATTATGCTGGGATGGGATACTGTTTTCCAGGACCATATTTGAAAATACTAGCTTAAATACAAGAAATTGCTTTTGATTACAAGTGAAGCGCAATTTGTTACAGAAATTTATATTGTTGAATACTGGATGATTTCCTACATTCTCAATTCAGATACATGCCGGTGTGTCAATGCAACAGCTTAATCAATCTGGTGTTCACAAGCTTAGGAAACAGCAAAACTGCACTCTCTAGCTTGCTACTTCTTAACTCCTGTTGGCACATAAGACAAACATACAGAAGCTAAAAAGGTGAAATGGGTAAAACATGCCAATTACGTTAATTCTTGGAATATATCCACACGGGACGTGATCACACTCTCTGACATTTTAAGATAAAAGTTTATATCATGAAAGAAACTACAAAGTTTAATAACTGGGGAAATAAAACTGAAGAGATTTTTTTAAAACATTCTGTTGCTAAGATTAGAAATAGTTAAAAGTGCTGGTAGAAACATATGGTTCTGGGACTGTGCAATTGGGTGTCTACTTTTCTATTTTAGGTGGTTATTTCTGCTTTTTAAGTATGAAAACTAATCAGTGACCAGACAAATTGGCAATGAAGAAAGAGAGATGATGGTTATAAATGACTTAAGATAGTTACGATGGCATGGCTAGTTATTCACAAAATTCAAAGCAGTTCAAGCCTTCAAGGCATGAATTTTCAGTCTTTGCTCTTGATACTCAGTAGTACCTAGAAGTTTAAAGAAAGTTTATAAGGAACTGACTCATTAATACTTGCTGCTTGCATAAATCTTCTATCAAGATGAGAACTTAGACATGGAAAGATCCCATTTTTTTCCCCCTTTAACTCCTACTTGGGATTAAGATGTCAGAAACGGTATTTTGCTGCCACTGCCCAGCGGTTCATAGGAGATGCTATATTATATTTAATGGTTATGAGGAAATAGTAGGTGACAGTGGTAATGGTGTTGTTGATCACCAGCTCTGACCATTAACTTTATTGCCTTGACATTATTAGGATCATCCATGAGCAATGACCATCAAATTTGAAAACCGCAAATTAGGTTGATGGTGTACTGTCCTAAGCATAGATGACAATGGGGTAAAAGCTGGAGACCATGTGGCTAATGGCTTCTAATTGTGACACTTGGTGAAGATGGCTGTTATGACACTCCAGACCATAATAATTCAAACAACATCCCTATATGATTTTAAACCTGATTTTCTAAAACTTTCTAATTTCTTTTTCTATAAAGATTCCAAATTTAATCACCCTGAAAAATTACAAATTACAAATTATGGGAAGAACAGAAATGAATTAAAGTATTAATCAAATTATTTATATAAAAAAACCAATGGAATCAAGTCATCCACAATCTATGACTATAATCAAAGAAATTTCAAGCACCCAGAAGCTAACTACGAGGGAAAGATAAAAGAGCTAGAGGGTTTCAGCATTACCTGTTGGTGTATGCCGACTAGGAGACATCCTTGGCGTTGTGCAAGAAAGCGGCAGAGCAAAGAATGGAAGCAATGAAAACGAAGATCCCCAGACCGATCATCAGAGAAACTCCGGCCACCACCAAATCTATTATACACTGCAGACTTAGACCCATCAATATCGCCATTTTTATTGCTGCTTTCGGGTTTTGAAGAGTAAAGATGAAATTTTTCGAACTGGGTCTTTGTTAGAGAAGGTTCGTTATGTAGAGCCAACAGAAAGAAAAGGATTCCGGAGCCGGAAAGAGGAAAGATTTCTCGAGATTTGACAAACGGCTGACCCTAACGCCGATCCTGGCATTTCACAATTTCTGGATTCAGAGTGACCGGAAAATAATCACGGCCATGATTAGTGTTGAAATTCTAACATTACCATTCCCTATTAAGTAAGATGCTCTTTTCCAGTCTTTGATTGTAGGGGTAAAATTGTCATTACATATGTATGGAATGAGATTAGTTAGGCTTTTTTTTTTTTTTTAACATTAAAAATTAATTAGTTGGCGTTGCGTAGTTTTAGTTTTTTTTTTTTGAATCCCCTGTATCAAGATTTTTATATTATCAAATAGCAGGTGGACTAATTATGAAATTAAAC